TTTGCCTGCCTTGAGCAAGTTGTCAAATATGAGAATTCATATTTCTCTCAGAAGTTTAAGTAGATGTGATGTCAATGTTGGAAATATTTCTTCAAAGAAAGAATCTCATATTTATTTAAGTTTATGTATGGTGAAAAGAGTTATATTTTATTATGCTGAAGTACTAAAGTAATTTAAAGTTAAAATTAAAATGTGCTAAGAATTATTTCCCCTTACCCAATATCTACTATTCACTTGCTTATTTTTTCTTTGTAATCATTATCATGTTCTCCTTTCTTCAGATAACTTCTACTTTCTTCTGGGTCTAAACAATATGCTTATTTTGATATGGAACTTTTTTCCAACGTAGCTTTGCAGATTATATTTCAGGGAGCAAAATTCACAGAATTAACCAGGACACTTGTTGGAACACAGATTCCTGGGGCTCAACTAAAGATCTGTTGAATCAGAAGCTCTGGGAGCCTAATTTTTTTAAAGGTTCCTCAAATGAGCCTCATATACACTAAAGCCACTGCTTTTGAGTCTACAGTAGTTCAGCTTTGGTCACAAAACTGCAAAAGAGAACTACTTGCATAAAAGTCACCATACAATGTTTTCAGAACTTCAAAGATGGTATTCATTTTTTAAAAAGCTTAAATTGTCATTTTTAGCATGTCTTCAACATGCCAAATAAGAATTACTTATTGGTCTATCTTTGCTAAGAGTAGCTGGAGTTTTAAATCTCATCTACAAATCGGTTAGTTAATTCTATATGAAGGTCAATTAGTAAAACTATGCCTTCATTCATCACATAAATGTAGGTGTCCGTTGTGTACTTTATCATATTCAGCTGAACCATGAGGTCTTGTGAAAGATAACGTGGTTTAGAGGTAAGGGCATTGTATTTGAGATTAAGCTCTGGTATTTACTAACAGAATGTCTCTCTGGGATTCAATTTCCTTAACTGCCCAAGGTGTGAAGAGAAAGTGAGGTATGGTAAATTAAATCTATGTAAATTATAAAGGGTTAGTACAGAAGTAGGAAATTTATAATATGTTGCCTGAATACTTTCACTGCATGATGACATATTATCTGACTGTAAGTTCAATGAGAGCAGAGATGTCACGTTATATCCAATTTTTGCCCTAGAAACTTGTATAATGTTGCATAGAAGACACTCATAATTGTTTGTGCAACTCTGATTTTCAAGAATACTACCACATCTAGGGAAAAAAATACATTTTAGGGAAGATATCAGATTGTGAGGAATGAATTTCAATTATATCTCAAAGGATATCCTGTATTTAGAAGATACATATAAAAGTTTTCGTTTTGTTTTTCTTTCAACTTACCTTTTCCTAACATGCAATTTGCTTCTAAAGTGTTTTAGTTGTTAAGAAGAACAATTTTTTACCCTGGAAACTTCCATTATCTTCCCAAATCCCCACATACAATACCTGTAGTCACATGCATGTTGTCAGTAGCTGTAGTGTTCAACTGTTACAGCTACTATTTACTTGCAGTGAAACATACAAAAGTGATAGCATTTATAACTTATAAACCATGATTTTTGTAGTCTTTTTAAAAAATCCTCATATCTGCTTTTTAAAATTTTCTTTCATCCAAAAATTGAAACCAAAGCTCAGTTAATCATTGTCATTTTTATTCAGTTTCATGTTTAATAATTTAGCTGGGAATTATTTTACAAGTTCCCTGTGTTTGACAAGAATCAGATGAACTTTTTATGTTGCAATTTTAAAGAATTTTATACTGTTTACAAAGATTAACAGATTGCATAGAAACTCACAACTACATAAATGTTATATATCACACATTTAAGATTAGAGATTCTAGATGGTTCAAGATCACAATTAAGTATTTCCCCCAGAAAATATAAAAGCATATTTCCTCATCCAGGACTACAACAATGATGGATGTGACTCTATCCCTTGGTTCCATTTGAAATGGTTCTTTTGAATAGGCTGTTTGTTTGGAGTCAAAGATACAAAGACCAAACAGGGACCTAACTTACAATGCTAACTTTAATGAAGGCCCCATTCTCTTTACCAAATGATCTGCTTTCTTTTTTTAAACAGCAATTTATGAAAATCTTTACCAAAACTCCAAAACTCCCGCTGTCTTTCAAACAGACTAAGTTACTTCAAGATAGTAATTGAATTCCTAAATCTAACTCCGTATAGACTATCTTTGGTTAAAATAGTTTTGGAGATGTTATTATCTTTGGTTAAAATAGTTTTGGAGATGTTAATGCCTGGCAGTTAACTTCAAAAAAGGTTATTAACAGCCTATTGGCTACCATGGAGCAATTGCATTACAAATAAAACACAAAGATTTTAGGCGCTTACATGGATCCCAACATCTATTCCAAATGTACACTTTTCAAATCAAGAGTCAGTGTGTTTGGATACTTCTGAAAGACCTAACAGGACTTTAACCCCACACATTAATTTGTTAGTACATCCCAGCATACTGTTTGTCTTGGACACTTGTATTTTCAAAAACTAACAGAAAGATGACTTGTGAGGAAACTTTTCCTTTTGTATATACTTGGGAACATCTGGTCTAAAAAAGCAGAGACTTCTGGTTTCTGGAGAACACAGTGAAGTAATCTAAGGGGTAACTTGATTCTTACTTGAGGTCATACAGGTAATCAAGAGAAAGGGTCTTATTATTCCAGGTTACCCATATCTTAGGATGTTTAGATTTAAGAACATTAGAATCTTTAGAAGTTCTCAGGAATTAGAAAATCCTGCACATTTTATACTCAAGTCTACCCAAAGGAAAGCTACTACAGAAGAAAGAATAAAGATATATCCTTTTTCCTCCCTTTTGTATTCCTCTATTTTTTGCCAAGGGCAAGAGAGGGACAAGGATTGAGACAAAATTGGGCTGAATTGAAACTGACAGTCTAGGGTTAGATGACTAGGCAGACTCTTCGTCCCCGAACTTGGGCATAAACAATATCTGGCTGCTGACTTAAGTGAAAATATGCAGAGTAGTTCTTCAGGGTCCACTTCCTCTTTCCTACTGTTGATTCATTCATGGTGCAAGCTAGCCCAAGAATCTAAAGTCCTTCAACTCATAAAGATCCACTCATTTACACTGCAAACTCCTAAACTTCCTGATTGCAGAGACCTATTAATCCAAAGGCAGGGTTGTTTTTTTTAATTGATTACAGCAATCTACATTAAACATGAATGAGGTTTCAGCCTCTGTGGGGGTTGTCATCTTAAAGTAGGAGCTGATGAACTTGCTGAAATTGAAAGAGTGCGGGGTCTGAGGACATTGGTTCTAGTTGAAGTTCTGCCACTTACTAGACGTGTTTACTCCATTTTAAAATAGAAAACAATGCCTCCTTACAGAATTGTTGTAAGAGTTAAATAAGACATTACAAGTGGCTGGGCTCTGTGGCTCCGTCTGTAATCCCAGTACTTTGGGAGGCTGAGGTGAGCGGATTGCCTGAGCCCGTGGGTTTGAGACCAGCCTGGACAACTTGGCAAGACCTCATCTCTACAATAAAAAAAAAAAAAAAGAAAATAGCCGAGCGTGGTAGCGCACATCTGTAGTTCTGGCTACTTGGAAGGCTGAGGCGGAAGGATCGCCGGAACCCAGCAGGTTGACCCCGGGGTGGCCATGAATGTGCCACTGCGCATCAGAATGGGTGATGGAGTGAGACTCCAACTCAAAAAAAAAAAAAGACATTACAAGTGAAGGCTCTTTGGTATGTACACTTAGCAAACAGTAAAAGTTAAATGAATTTCAACCTCTAATTAGTAGAAAGTAGAAGAAAGTATACATGGGTGGGAAGGAGAGGGAAGCTGGCCTCTACTGAAAATTTTCTACTTTCTTGCTTCCTCAAATTCATTTTCCCCTAGCCCAACCTCTAACAAAGTAACATATTTGGGAAACAAAACTAGTAGAGCGATTTTCAACCTAAGTGTCAGGTACATTTGGTGACAACATGAAGGTACAAGTCACACAGAAAGGCTAGATGCTCTGTGGTGCTTGTGCTGAACCAGGCATTGTGCTATGACATGATAGACACAAAGCTCCATTATTTCAGTGGCATCATTTTTCTTCTCAATGATCCCACATATGTATGCATCAGTACATTTATATGATTGGTTAAAGATAGAGCCTGACAGTGTGGCTGTGTGAAGGAAGAATAATTAGCAAACAGGTCAAAATTAAAATGCTGGCTGAACATGAAGCCACTGAGTAAAATGTAACCCTTGAGGATATTGTCACAAACCTTCATTTACTTTAGGCCACAAGTCATCCTGATTAAGAGGTTTGTACTTATAAAAAAAATTGATATTTAGAGATTGTCATTTTTTTTTCCTGACCAGCATACCATCATTTTTCTTCTGGGGGAGGAACCCAGTACAGATGATGTGGTTGGGGCTGCCTCTGCCCTTCTCTGTCCAGAGACCCAGGACTTGTGACCGGGTCTGGTCAATTAGAATACCCCTACCGGGGTCCAGATTCTTGCTCAGAGACTCTCACGTGCTCCAAATTGAACCAGATTCTCCTCATTTGCTTCTGCCACAGATGTGGGCAAAGACAGCTTTCCTACCCTTTGAGGTCTTGCCAACTATGTGGATTGATCCTGAGAGAGACAAAGCCCAGTGGCATCATTTGACTCACTATATGCAGCTGTGTCTGATCAGATCTACTGTTAATCTTCTTGGCTTGTGAACTGCTATTCTTCTTATTGGCTGAAGCTATTCTGATTTGTAACTTTCACTTGCATTCAGGAGACCAAAACATAAGGCACCACTAATAAATCTGATTTAGCTGCTATTTGTCATGCTTATCATTTAAGTAGTATAGCAGTTCCAAGAGAATGTTTTATCCATAAGAAAACCTGTATAGCTCACTGAGTCAATGAATATCCTCTCAGAGACTTCAGGGAAAATAGATCATTATGCAACTGTCACCACTATAGTTGGTGGTGCTGGCACTTCCCTCCATGCCTTAAAACAAAAGTCACAAGCACAAAATCCACAAGATTATTTTATTAGAATTTAGTGGGGAGAAGATGATACAGTCAAGTTTTCACAAAGAAAGTCTTCACACTGAACTCCAGCTAAATAAAGAAAATTCAAGTTCTTGATTCAGTCTCTACTGGTCCGGGTATTAATGTGTCAAGGTATCAGTGATGTGACCAATTCGCATGACCCTTAATTCTCTGCATCATTTCTCAGCAGTCCCAGACACAAATTCTGAAAAACTTCTTCCATTTCTACGGTTTTACTTATCCAATTCAGAATGCTGCTGGTTACTGCAAAATTTTTCACCAACCATATGCTCGGGTCCATACGGCTTTCTTCTTAAACTCTGAGAGAACTCTCAGGGACAGCAGGGTGGCTAAGGGGACAAAAAATAAAGTGCACTGTTGCATCTGGTGGAGGTGCATTTGAAAGGTCACTTTGATCACAGAGGTGTCCAACATGGCTTGGCTTTTTCTCACTTCAAGTCTCAGGATTCCCATCAAACCTTTGGCAGAATTTTAATGACAGAAAACCACTTATATAAGTTGGGGGAAAATCAAAACTGACTTTTGGGATGCTGATAATATTCTTTTTCTTGATGTGAGTGCCGATAACATAGGTGTGTCCCCTTTGTAAAAATCTACTTAAGATATGTGCTCTTTTCTACATAAATATAGTATTTCCATTCAATGTCTAATTAAAGATAAAAACAAAAATCCTGGACCTATAATAAAGTTAGGTTCATGTGCTCAATGGAGCAAGTATGACTGTATTAAATTATATTTGAACAGGTACCCACAAGTCTATACTTTTTTGGTGTGTCATGGGTCCCTCAGGGATCAATTTAAAGTAGGAAAATTCTGTGTACACCCTTTAGGTAGCTTGTTATATATCTTATTTTAGAATATTAATATAAATGTGTTGAGGTGTTATTTAAAATATAATAATGTGAAGGAATGTGGGTAAACCAGATTTACAATTATTGTATGTGACTCTAATAAGCCCATGACTACATGATCAAGTGAACATGTGTTTCCTTGACTTGAATTAGTCTTTCCCTCATCAGTACCAGTTGTTATCTTTGTGACCTAAGACAATATACATTTGGGGTAACCTATGTTATTATGGACTGGTGGTCATTAAAAATGAGTTCAAACTTCCTGAGACAAACTGACAAGAGAAATTCCTTACAGCAAGTCTCCAGAGACAGAAAAAAGTGAAAATATGTCAAACCGTAGCCCTGATTTTCAATGAAATTCTTTGGTTTTTCAGAGTCAGGTGGGTCACTGTTCTTTCAGACTCATGACTCCCACCCACTTTGGAGTTAGGGAGAATGATTAAAACCAAGGAATTCTTGCTTGTTTGGCAACCAATAAAGTGTGCCATACTTACAAGTAAAATAAGGATCACACTCTGACTCCAGGCTAACCAGATAAAATAACACAGAACATCCCAAGGGGCAACTTTCTGAAGGTGAGACTTTTCAATACAGTATCTCACAGCACGTCAGGAATACCAGCAGCAGCCACTGGTAGGGTCCAGTTCCCTCAAGTCCCAAGACATGGAGGGCAAGTACAAGCTGTTTCAGGCCACAGTGCCAATGCCCAGATGACTTACAAGATTTGAATAAGACCACCTACATAATTTTAGCAGAAAGATCTTCCATGTTTGTGAATCCTAAAGTTATAGTTTAATAAGTCAGTAAAGAATTATAAAAGACACAAAAACCATCTAAATTCCTGAAAGTATAGAAAATGGCTAGTTCCCTTGGCAAAATACCATGTAGCCATTAAAAATACGACTTAGAAAGCCAGTATAAGAACAGGCTTAACTGCTTTAAAATAATGTTAAAATTAAAAAGGCTACATTCAAACTGTCTTTGTGTATTTTTTTAATACTATATGTTTTCAAATATATAAAACAACACAGAAGGGGGCAAAAACTTCTTATGGAAAGTATAAAAACTGTCATTGGGCAATGGGACTCGATTTCTCTTTGCTGCTTTTTACTTTTCTGAATTTTCTGAATATAAAATTAAAATAGTCTTTCACTAGCATAATAACATATTTAAAAATCATTTAAGTAAATGTTAAATTTGAAAGCACTCGAATTTTTTAAATCCACTTTCTGGTTTAAAATGCACATTGGTGACAGCTTCAGATGAACCCTTTCACAAACAAATACAGGCTAAGCATCCCCAATAAAAAAAAATCTGAAACCTGAAATTCTCCAAAATCTGAAACTTTTTGAGCACCAACATGACACACCACAAGTGGAAAATTCCACACGAGTACTAAAATACAAACTTTGTTTCATGTACAAAATTACTAAAAATATTGTATAAAATTACCTTCAGGGTACATGTATATGGTGAATATGAAGCATAAATAAACCTTGTAGTTAGACTTGGGTTGAATCCCCAAGATTTCTCATTATGTAAATGCAAATATTCCAACCCCCCCAAAAAATCTGAATTCTGAAAGACTTCTGGTTCCAAACATCCCAGATAAGGAATCATCAATTTGCATACACTAGAATACCATTCTGTACCACAGACAACAATGGATAGTTTTCCCCCATGTTGAGCAAAAAGCATGGAAGCAGTACCTTTTAAAAGATCTCTGGACTTTGCTGAGAGGGCTTCTTTAGGACTTTCCATGATGCTGAACAGCCAGTCAATGAACTAGGGTGAAAATGAAGAACAGTGTCAGTAAAGAGAATCCTATTATCAGCAAGAAAACAATTATTTACTGGGCCTGCCTACATGAGTATTAATGCAATAGTTCTTAGGCAATACCTGCCTGGGCTGGAAGAGTAGGGACAAGACAGGGACCAAGCACAAGGTATGGTAAAGTTGGTCACGGCTTTCATTTAGTCAGATGACTAAACCTACTTCTGTTGCTGAAACCGTGAGACCTAGAAAAGGTTTTTTAAGAGTGAGGTAGACAGAGACTCAAGGGGCTTGTTGTGCACTAGGAATATTACCCCTCACCGTTCTGAGGAGCCCTCAGAGGTAAAGAACCCTGCTCAAGGCCATGCCCAGTGAATAGCAGAGTCATGATTTTAATCCAAATACACCTGGCTTCAAAGTCCTATGCTCTTTCCTTGCATCATGCTGCCTCCCCCATGACTGATGCTGGGCAGTAAGTAGGGACTATATCAGATGTAAGACCCTGTTTTTGAAACAAAACATGTTTCTGTAGACAAGAGCAGTTGTGTTCAAATGTACATTAAACAGAAAGTTGAAATGCAAGAGAAAAGGCATAAAATAAATACTAGGTAGAGCCAAGAGTGTTAACTGAATAAATCCTGCAAATGAGGTAGGAACACATAGTATTCATAAGTTTTACTGATCTCCAAAGAGTGCTGCCAAAATTGTTTTTGAATTAGATACAGGGTAATTTCATCAATGACTGAATGTTGTCAATTTTGGCTCAAAAAACACATATAGTAGTGATAGGTACTAGACATTTTAACTTTGGACACAGAAGCTGAGTTGAAGAGCAAAATAGAAAAAGAAAATATTCCTACTTCCCTGTTTTAATTAAGTTTGATATTTGTTTTTATCTTTTTCTCAATTTTTAATATCCTACTGGTAAGTAAAGCAAGCACTACAAATACATAATTAATGAGAGATATCTACAGTGTCCAAAATGAACATGGTATCCCAGCCCAGAAATAACATGAGGTGAGCATGCATTTACATTTATTTTTATTTTTCTTTCAAATAGAAAATAAAACAAAATTTGGGACAGCAATACTAATGCTTATCAGATAAAAAAAATCAAAAGCCATTTAAATTGAGACACTTGGTGGAGTTGTGCATAACTAAACTGTGAGTTCACAGTATAGAAATGTTTTTAAAGATTAATGTTCTGATTTCAAGAATAAGCAATAAAAAGTTAGTTTTGGCCAGGTGCAGTGGCTTAAGCCTGTAACCCCAGCACTTTGGGAGGTTGAGATGAGAGAATTGCCTGAGTCCAGGGGTGCAAGAACAGCCTGGGCAACTTGGTGAGACCTTATCTCTATAGTAAATCACAAAATTAGTTGGGCATGGTAGTGCACGCCTGTAGTACTGGCTACTTGGAAGGCTGAGATGGAAGGATCACCAGAGCCCAGCACATCGACCCTGGGGTGGCCATGAGCATGCCACTGCACTTTAGCCTGGGTGACAGAGTGAGACTCCAACTCAAAAAAAAAAAGTTAGTTTTAAGTTTTCAACTTAAAAAAAACCCAGTTTTGATTAAATCAGATTCAAAAAATAATCTCCCAAGCAACTGTATTAAGAGCAGGTGAGAACCACATAATGAGAAGTACAGTAAGCACAGTATTTTCACACACTTTGCAGAACAGTTAGTAGCCTGAGAAATCTCAATATTATAAACCAAAAGTTTTTTTTGGGGGGGGGTTACATGTTTTAGCAAATTGAAGTAACACATGTTCACATACACAGCCCCATCATGATACAATGTCATCTTTTTCTTCATATAACCCCTTCAACTACCTTACTCTTACCTCAGAAGAGGAACTGAACTGAAAAGCAAACCCAAACAGTTTGGATTTTGCTGGGGTAAGGGTGGTGAGATTAGAACTTTACAAAACTCTGTTTGGCATCTAGTACAGGCTGGGGGCACATTTGATCCCTGGAGCATATTTGCAAGATGGAATAAGCTCTGGGGAACCTTAAAATGCTAGAAGATGGAAGCACCAGACCCACAATTCCTGTTGGAAGACTTCTGAGACCCACCTCAGGCATTGTTGATCCTCTCCCTCACATGCTCATCACCACTGGCTCCTGCTTATAACACCATCCTGCAATCCTGAATTTGTCTTCCTGTCTTTCTTTGATATTCTGAACTCTGAAACTTACTCATCCTTTCCTCCCCGATCAAGAACACATGCGCCTTCAACAAACAAATGAAAGCATGGGCTTTTCTCTTCAACCCACCCCAACTGTAAGCAAGTTGATGCCTTTCGTTGTTGTTTTTAATCAGAAGTTGCCCTGAGCCTGGGTTAGCCTCATTCTCTGAAACTCTGCAGCTGGTTGAAATTTGGGGCCGAGGAGCTTGTGGTGTGATTCAAGATGCACTTAATTCTCAGCTTTATTCTAAGCGGAGAATGCTGAAGAGAAACAGCTGCCTAGCCCTGTTAAGCTGGTGGCTTCCAACCTCACCTTCTGGGTTTGTTCCTTCCAAGGCTCTTTCTGCAGCAGAAGAAGCATGCTACTGGGAAGGAGAGTGAGCGTCTCCTGCAGAGTGACCCTGTGCATTGGACTCCTGCCAAGGAAGCTGGATCCTGACCCAGCCGGGTCGTTCTCCCGATGCCATGGCAACCAACTGGCACTGAGGCCGAGGAGGAGAGGGGCCTCATGGTCTGCCCATGCAACCACTGCAGTCGCAAATATCAGCAACAAAAAGGCCAAAGCCTACGGTGGAAATAGAAACATTAGGTCATATGTTTTAACAATTCAAAGTAATGCGTGTTCACATACTCAGCCCCTGTCATGAGGCAATGTTATCTTCCCCTTCACCCAACCCCATCCTCTTGCCTTACTCCTCCCTAGAAGAGGAACTGAACAGCAAGCTCAACTTCCATGCTTAATTACGAAATGTTTTGGGACTTTGCAAGGTTTTTGAGGTCCCTTTATGTGAAAGCAGAAAGTCCAATAGTTTCAATACTATTGCCCTAACATGTTGGAAGAAACGTAATTAATTCAATTCCTAATCATCCCCAAATCCAAACATTCCTCTCTTTTGGTGTTTCCAAAGAGATTAAGAAATTAAGAGAGATAATGGAGAGATATTTTATTATGAGATTGTTATGTCAAAACTAATTCTAAAAAATATGTATAGTCTGATTCTATTTTCAAACAAGTCTCTTTTCAAGCATTAATTTTTTTTTTTTTTTTTTTTGAGAAATGGGGTCTATGTTTCCCAGGGCAGTCTCCATCTCCTGAGCTCAAGAAATCTGCCTCAGCCTCCTGGGTAGCTGGGACTACAGGTGTGTGCCACTGTGCCTAGCTTCATGTATTTTTAAAATCTGTCTAGGATTTGCCCATTTAGATTTGAGATTAATCAAGACACTTATAGAAATAATAATAGGGGCCACGTCTGAATTGTTGGATTACTGTGGTTTAAACTACACTTCTGCTTGTCTGCATTCTCTCAATGTTTTAAGATTTTTGTAAGAAAACAGAGAAAGTTAAATACAAACTTAGGAAATCAGAAGAAAAAAAGGACAGATTATGTTAGTTAAAAAAAAAGCATAAAATGTATTTGTCAATCTTGGCTGGGCACAGTGGCTCACACCTGTGAGAAATATTTTCAACAAAATATTGACAGGTAGAACACAAAAGACACTAGCTGGAGACGGAATCAAGGTCCCATGTACTTGGGTTTGATCCCATAAAGGATGTGGGGATACTGGGCTCTGACCTCCACACTGGCCCGGTGTATGGCTAAAAACTACTGGTTTACAGGTTCCTGAATTATATGCCGATAATCTGTATGTGTGCCTGTGTGCACATAGTAGGGGGAGTTTCCACGATTCCTTCAAGATGACCCCGAAAATAAGAACCACTGGTACTAGATTTGGGTGAGTTAAAAAAAGGAAAACATTAATAAATGAAGACAGCTCTTTCGCGCTCTCCCTCATTTTCTTAGGGAGAGATAAATATAAGTAAGAATATTCTTTTTCTTTGAGTTGGAGCCTCACTCCCTCGCCCAGGCTGGAGTGCAGTGACACGCTCACAGCAAACCCAGCATTGACCTTCTGGGCCCCAGCGATCCTTCCGCCTCAGCCTTCCAAGTAGCCGGAACTACAGACATGTACTACCATGCCCGGCTCATTTTTGATTTATTGAAGAGACAAGGTCTCGCCAAGTTGCCCGGGGTTGGTCTTGAACCCGCAGGCTCAGGCAATCCACTCACCTTGGCCTCTCAAAGTGCTGGGATTACAGACTGGGCCACTGAGCCCAGCCATTACGTTAGAAATTTTAAGGAAGGAACAAACTGTTCCTCTAGCATGTACCTCATCAAGAGCCACATTCTGAACAGATGTTGACTGGTAAGCCACATTTCTGATATAGCCCATCAGTTCCAAGAGCCACTCCATTCTCTTCAGTACACCTGGAACGAAAAGGATATTTTTCTTACTAGACCATAGTTTTCCTTTGAAATGCAAAAGAGATCAGTAATGGCCATCACAACTGAAGCAGAACACCTGGGGAGGATTCCCTAAAACAGTTTCAAGATCTCTTCCAATACCTGAGACTTGTGACTGTCTGTGAGAGAGTTCTCTGATACTATTCACATCAGATAACTGTATTTTGGTGTTTAATTTTCAAAAGCTAAACTATTCTTCAAAGATCTCTGCCCACTAGGGACAAGATGTATTATCAAACTCTAGGAGAAATCTGGCACGCCAACTAGCTAGTAATGTTGAATCTTGGGATAATTAGTTGTTTTTATAGTCATCCTTTGCTTGGGTTCCCAATTTATGCCAAAATCACAAAGGAAACCCATCCCAAAAACATACAAAGAAAAATAAAAAGCAATCATTATTGGGGAACTGGAAAACAAACAGCATAAATATTAATTTTCTCTTTAATTTTTTGAAAAGAGGATTCTCATTACAGTAAAACTACTTACAAGGCTTTCAAAATTTAGAAAAGGAAAACAGAAACTACATCTGAGAGCTGGCTAGCTAGAAAAAAGGCAACAACAAACTTATGTCAGCTTATTGCATGTAACTTCATATTAACTTAAAAACACCTACTATGCTTGAGCCCAGAAGTAAAAAAAAAAAAAAAAAAAAGTTGGGTGTGGTGGCACGTGCCTGTAATCCCAACTACTCAGGAGGCTGAGGTGGAAGGACTGCCTAAACTCAGGAGGTTAAGGCGACACATAACTTAATTAGGCTTGAGAATGGAGGTGAGCCATGATCATGTCAGTGTACTCCGGCCTAGGTGACAGAGTGAGATGCCCGACTCAAAAAAAACCAAACACCTACTACATTTCTTCCTGATAAATAAACTTTCAGTTTAGAGTAGCAAAAAATCCAGTTTCTCATCCCTTTTTTTTCTGTCACTTTTCAGTGGACTGGTACTGATGCAGATACGAGACAGCTGTTCAACTGCCAGAGGCGGATGAATCAACATTTCTGATATAGTCTTGTAAAGTATTACAATCAGGTTGGTCAGTTTTCCCCCCAAATCATAGATACAAGAGATGGATGGAGAAAACAGGCCATATAAACATAAGTAACTAGCCTAGGGACACAAGGGCTTCCCAACCATATCTAACCCACTTAAGCCAGGTGCCATTTAGAATTTGAATGATGTCTTCAGAAATTATAAGCATATGGCCAAAGAGATGGAAGGAGCAATGGAGGAACTTCCTTGTCCAGTGACTAGTACCTAGTACTAGTATCTAAAATGGTCTAAAAGTAGCACCATATGATTCACTAGCAGAGCTTCAGGCTTGAAAATGTAGGTAAGGCAGCTAGATTTGAATCTTCTCACCCCTGAGAAAACTATTTAATTTTTTTTTGTTCTCTTTTTGTTTGTTAAATGACAACCCAAAAGCCATTTTCATGAAATTATCAGGCAGAATCAATTGACATCTTGTTTACTTGGGCAACTAAAGTTAAACAGGCAGAAGCAACCTGGTACACTTGTTTATACCTTTGAAGGTCTGAATAACCAAGTATAATATAAAAATCCTCATCAGATTCCATTCTCAACTCAAAAAAAAAAAAAAAATGAATGTTGTGAGCTAAACTGCTCATTTCTATCCAAGGCACTCTTCATTTGGTGTGAGAAGGCCAAACCTGTATCAATAAGCACTAAACTAATTTTTAAGTTGAGAAAAGAACAACTTAAAAGGGACAGTAGGCATATCTGTTTCTGTTCCTGATGTTCACCCCAGGTTGGCCTTACCTGTGTTGGCATGGCTCACAATCCGTGCCTGGTATAAGCTGTGTAGAATCATCCAGGCCAGCACGTCTTTCTCATGGTACTGCACAGCGACACTTAGCATGTCAGTCAAGTTCATCAAGGGGAATCGTCCTTGAGAGACTAAGTACAGTTTGACAAAGGCAGTCTTTTCTACATTGCTCTGCCAAAAAAAGTAAATTGTTCAGTTACTATTAAATTAAATAGTGGCAGAATTTCAGCAAAAAGGCAAAATAGAAAAGGTGAGTTTGATGTTAATATTCTGTTCATTCCTGCAGCATGTGACCTGTTGTGCCTGTGTACTAAATTAATGTGCGCACAATAGAGGGTTGTAAAATCATCTCCTCTTCATAAAAACCACAAATCTGTTCAGGGGTTAGTTGGTGATGGTATTCAGTAAGTATATACAAATATGAAGAATAAAGGAGAACGAACAAATATGGTACTTATCACACGCCAGGTACCACACCAAGCTCTCAATATGCATTAATTCAGTGGCTTTCAGAGTGTGGTACGCAGATTTCTGGGAATCCGAAGGCCCTTTTAGAGGTTCTCTGAGGTTAAACTATTTTTAATTAGAACCAAAGTGCACTAGTATTCAGTGTATCTTTCAGTGCCATTTGTAATTTTTTTAAAAACCAGTTTCACTTAAAATATCCTCGTAAGCAATAAAGATGATCAGTTTCATTAAACTATGGCCCTTGAGTACACATTTTTAAATATTTTGTGGGAAAAATTGGGAAATACTCATAACGAACTTTTGCTGTACACAAGTATGATGGTGGTCTCAGGGCAGGGAAAAGCACTTGTAAGATTAAGTTGTGAGCTAAATAGCCACTCTTTTCATAGTACACCATTGACTTGAGAGATGATTGATGGACAGACTGTGGTTATTCAAACTGGGTATTTGACAGATTATTTTCTTAAAAATGAAGAAAGTGAACCTGTCACTTCAAGGAAAATACCTGACAGTATTTGTTCCCAATGATAAAATCTGAGCTTTCAAGTGAAAATTCGATTTTTCAAAAATTTGTTTTTGCTTCTATGAGCTTGGCAGCTTCCCAGTATGTAAAAGGCTTTTCTAATGAGATTGCTGGTGATACTAAAAAATATGATTTTTATATTGTATAATGAAATGTATCACTATTTGAAAGATCTTCAAAACTCAGCAATCCTATATTTTGCAAATCATACATGGGTAAAAGACCAAAGTACAAGACAGATCAGAAGATTTTAATGTAATAAAGTATATGAGTTCCATTGATACAGTTTTGGATTCCATTGCAACTAACCTTTAAGAAACTATAAGTTGAGTTGCAACAGCAAAGAAGGATATTCAAAATATTGAAGGATATCCAAAATTATTTGAAAAGACTATCAACACACTCTTTCCCTTCCCACCTACATATCTGTATGAGGCTAAAACTTCTTCATACACTTCACCATACAACATTACAACAGATGGAATGAAGCAGCAGCCATGAGAATCCTGTTGTCTTCTATTCAGCCAGATATTAGCGAGGTTTGCAAAACTAAAACAATGCCATTTTTCTAATTTTTTTATGTTTTGAAAATTTTTTTATTATTCATATTAATATGTAATAGCTTTCTTATTATTACTTTTAAGTAAATATTTTTAAATGTTCCTAGTTTTAATTTCTAGTAGAGTGAATATTAACACATATGATGCATATAATTTAAAGTTGTTTGGGATCCTTGATAATTTTTTAGAAACCTCAAGTGTTCCTGAGACCAAGACATTTGAGAACTGTTACATTAACTATTTAATTCTCATACCAACCCTCTGTAGTAGAATATTATCATCCAACTTTTACAGATGGCAAAACTGAAGCACAGAGGTTAAGTAACTTGCTGAGGGTCACATAGCTAGAGGTAGCAGAGTAAGAATTGGAACCCAGGAAATCTGCACTCTCCACTATTGACTTATTCTTACCTCTATGCTTTTCAGAAATGAAAAGAAAAACCTGGGCCAGGCTTGGTGGCTCAGCCTGTAATCCCAGCACTTTGGGACTGCCTGAGCCCGCGGGTTCGAGACCCGCCTTGGCAACTTGGGGAGGCCTCATCTCTACAATAAATCAAAACAATTAGCCGGCCGTGGTAGTGTGCGCCTGTAGTTCCAGCTACTTGGAAGGCCGAGGCAGAAGGATCACCGTAGCCCAGCAGGTGGAGGCTGCGGCAGCCGGAAGTGGCCACTGCACTCCAGGCTGGGTGACAGAGTAAGACTCCAGCTCAAAATAAAAAAAGAAAAACATGACCTCAGTGGAGCAAACTAACTCTTTTGGGGACATGAGAATACTCGTATGTTCCAGTGACAATGTTCTGAATTGCACTTTGGGTAGGAACCCAAGTGAGTAATACTGTACCCTTTAGCTTCAGGTACCAAGTGAATTGCATTATTTCCAATGGCATGACATTAATATAATAATAGTATGTAATTAGTTACACACATCTAATAATTATGATAATAAATAATTACTGAGTCCTCGCCTCGGACCAGGCACTATTCCAAGTACTTAGCAAGGATTAAGTCATTTAACTCTCAAAACAATCTTAAAAGCTAGGTGTTATTATCTCCCCTTTATAGATGAGGAAACTGAGGCAGAGAGAGGTTACAAAACATAACCAAAGCCACTGTGCTAGTAAATTGCAGAGCTGGATTTCAAGCGAGAGCAGTGAGGCTGCAGAGTCCATCCCCTTAATTATTTCTTTATACTGCTTTCTCATTGCTTAAAAAGAAGCTAATCTCCAAAATGCTGATATTCCAAATACTCAAACCTTAGGATGCATCAGAATCACCCAGAGAGACTATTAAAACACAGATGCCTGGGCTCCAGAGTTTCTGATTCAGTAGGTCTACAGTAGGATTCGAGAACTCGTATTGCCTGTGAGAACCACTGCTATATGATCCAGAAATTCAAGTATCCAACTGAACAGGCAAACCTAAAATAAATGGCAAGAAGTTCACTAGCTACTGGGCGAAGGGGACAATTCAAGTTCTCTAGAGTATTGATACTAGCCGATATGCAAGGTTGCAATTCAAACAAGTTTGTCATTTGGCATGTACTTACACTAAAAAATTACTCATTGTTGATCTGCAACTCAAATTTATTAAAATATCCTATATTTTATTTGCTAAATCTGGCAACTTTACTAATAGGCTACTTTTTTCTCATTCATCATTTAACTGGGCATGGGTGTGGGAGTACTTGTCAATTATTCTGTGTCAGAGCTAATAGTGTTTGTTTTTCAACCAACCACCTTTCTTTATTCTAAAAGAATAATATCAGGTGAAGGAAAATAAATGTGAGAACGAGAACACTGTATTTATGCCTTCTATGCATCAGAAAATTCATTGTTCAGAATATTCCCATTCTCATGGATATTGCATTGAAAAGGCTGCCCTGTTCTTATTTTTTGCCCAGAGGTGACACAAAAATGTTCCTGATAGAGTGGAAGAAATTGGGTTAACAAGTTATTCATCCATCTATCCATCCATACAATATTTATTAACTTCCAGCCAAACTAGACCCCACAGTGAAATGGAAAGATAGTTTTCTGAAATTAACCAGTAAAAAATATGAAGCAAAACTAGATTCAGCCAAAAGGACATTGTAATTAACTCTCCAATTATTATTTCTGTCTCAGTAATGAAAAAATATAGATAGATATGTTATTACCTTAGTAATCTGGGCAACCCGATTGGCGTTATCATCTGTCATTTCCGAGAGGCATTTTGCTATACTGATATACAACTCTAGATCATTTCTCTGGTAAAGAAAAATCCCAAGCATGTCAAAACACAATGTAAAATAAAAAAATCTATGTTCTGATAAATTGTTAGATGAGAATTTAATTTTAAACAAACCAAAACATATAGCCAATTTTTATCGTATTAAAAACATCTTTCCTGTTGCTTGCTATATTTTTTAAGCTGTGCTTTTTTTCTCCTTATCAGATGAATTTTTCACCTCTTTGTAAAACTACAATTCAGGGGTTTGTTGGGGGAGGGGAAGGACTAACGTTAAGTCATTTGATATAAACAGTATGTCTTCCACAGACATTTGGTTAAAAGGCCTCACAGGAAATTTCCCCATACTCAACCTGCTTCTGAGTTTGCTCAAAACTTTGGTTCTAAAGATTCAACCTCAATTTAGATCCTGGAAGCAAACACACTCCTAGCGAAGAATGTGGTTATTTCTTGCTAGCCTTCCCACCCACATTCTTAAAACATATACCTCCCCACTTTGCCAAAAGGGCTTTAAAAAATCCCAAACATAAATTGTCAGGAATGTAAATATTTTTGTTCCTCACCCGAATCTTATTTGGCAGGAGGTCAAAAATTTTCCCAGTAGCTTCACAGAGCAGACTCCAGAGGTAGTAGGCAGGGCTGGGCAGTTTCATGGCCTGGCTCAGACCCTGTAAGGCACTTGGGCATAACTCATGACTGCCAAGTGGTGAAACTGTTTTAAAAACAGCCACCATTAAGTTTTCAGTAAAACTCAGGATCTGTTCATCAGAGATGTGTTTTATCCACAGAGGTGCAGATATCAAGAGATATTTCTTAATATTCAGCTGGAAGTAAAACAGAAGAGGTAAGATGTAAATAGACAAGTCTGGGTTTGCAATGCTCAAGACCTCTGGATCATCACTGTTTGAGGGTAGACCGGGAAAGGAAAGGTTCAGGTTACTTCCTTCACCATTAATTTCCCCACAGCTTCATGGTCCAATGGGCCACCAATGCATGTAATTTTGGCTGCTGCAGTTACTTCTGATCCTGAGTGACTCATATGTGTATATGGTATCTGTCAATCCATCTGTGAACTACTCAACTTAAACCCTGGATCTTTTCAACGATGGGAATAAAATGCTACTTCTGAAAGTACATGACAGTTGCTTTTAAGTTTTCAAAGGTCACTTTCTCTGGCAAGAAAAGCTCTAGAAGATGAAAGTCCCGTTTGCTGGAAATCAACTAAACAGAGCATCTGATATTATAAGTTTCTTCTTCTGAGAAAAAATAAGGAAGCAATAAGAAGAACTGGCATGCTGGGGCCATTTCTGACCAAAGAAAAACCACCAGCTGAGCATGTAGAATTGACAAAAGCACCTTAGAGTTCACAAGAGCCAAGAAGGTGCACAGTTAGTAATAGTTATGTTATGTGACAAAGGCTCTAAGAAAGTGGGCTTCAAAAATTCTTAGAAACATAAGTATAATACTAAAGGGCAGAAAGTCCAAAGAAATAGTCTAAAAAAATTTGAAAATAAAATCAGTAAATTTCAAAAAAGATAAATGTAGTTTCATGAGTTTTCTGAAGAGGTCATATTAAAGAATATACCATCTGAGATCACTTTATATGAAAATGAATTCACAACTTTAATTAGTCAATTAACAAAGATAACAATAAAGAACCATAGTCAAAGACAAATGCAAAGAGTAGCACATATCTAAAAGAGAAATGAAAGGATAACTAAAATCTAAAAAAAATTTCTGGGGTCACAAAACAGGCTATTAAAGATGGGCTTAATTCAAAAGGAAAAATAAACGAACAGAATAGAACTTTGAAATAATCTAAATACAGCACTCCCATTTATTAGCTATGCAAACTTTTCATGACCTCCATTTGCCTCAGTTTATCGACTTGTAAAATGGAAATAATGAAATGTGTCTCTTAGGATTGCAGTAAGCCAGACATAAAATACTTCATATTCCATGATTCCATTCTCAGGAATTTCTAAAACTTATATAAAAGTTAGACGAATATAAAAGTTCTTTAAAAGTAAGCAAAATTACAGAGACAGAAAGCAGATCAGTGGTGCTGCGGGTCTGAAGTTGGGAGTGGGGACTGACTAGAAACAGGCACAATGGAACTTTCCTGGGTGATGGAAGTGTCCTTGGTGATGAGTGAAAAATCTATATAAACATACTAAAACTCAAAATAGGGCAACTTAAAATGGCCCTATTTTAGGCAATGAAATTAAACTCAAAAAACTATTTAAAAAATTGTCCTATCAGGCTTGTAGGTAGATTAATTCTGACGTGTGTAAGCAGTCATTTAGTGCTTGCAGATGTCGGGTAACCAGTAAATGCTCAGTAGGTGGCAGCTAGATGGGAACCACCTGGAGACGACAGGTGGGGTAAGGCTAACAGTTGACAGGAAGGATGCGGACCTCCATGACATCCACTTTCAATGAAAGAAAACTGGAAGGAGTAGAAAAGATTTTAAAAAATAAAAAACAAAGAGAGTGCAGAATAAGGACAAAAGCCATGAGATTGAGGAAATAATAAAAGGGCTTTGCGCTATTCTCAAAGAATAAGAGCCTTTTAGAACAGAAGAATAATAGGCCAAATTATGAAGACACGTCAAAGATGTGAGCATTTAACTTATATTAACCGGTAAACCACTAAGGAATCATGGAATGTGGTTTTCTGTCCTAGTTTGCAAAGCACTCAAAATTATATATCTTTACTAACTTAATATCTTTAAATAAAAGTTCTTGCCCCTTTCTTCTAATCTGCACTTGCCTATACCTAGAAAGTGCTAGCTCCCTCTATCACAAACACCAAGCTGGATCACTTCTTTCTCAACACTTTGCCAAGCTAAATATCCTAGAGGATTTGTTTCACTCTTTCCATTTACAGCCTCCCACCTACATTCTCTGGTGCCTCAAAACTGATGCCTAACATAATCCAATCAAGCCTTTGAGACTCATCTTAATTGCTGCCTCTGGGAATGGGAGGGGTAATATAGGTATGAATCCAGTACATGCAGATTTCTCTTAACACCCACTGAAATGATTGCATGTACCATATAATCAAATAAACCAAGGGTCAAATAACTTCACAATTTTCTAGTTGTATCATCTTGAGACAAATCATTTTAATACTTTTGGTCATCATTTTCCCCTTTTCGTAATAAATTGTAGCTAAAGCATGAATGGTAATGGCTATGGCCGGGTTCTAAGCTATATAATTTTCCAATGTACAGGCCAGTTGCTACCAAGCTCCCAAGTTTTGTAAGATTCCATTTTTCTACTCTTGACATTGAGAACACATCACCCAAGTGAGTATTAATCTCCCCCAAAAGGACCATATCCTCTTGCTGGCCAACACCCTTAGTTACTACATACACTCAGATTGTGAATCAGTGGTGGTGTCACCCATAAGCCCAACAGTGCAGCTGCATTCTGGGATGACTGGGCCTGGGTCACCATAATTTCAAGGCATAGTTGCTGGATCTCTTCACCTGAAATAGAAGAAAGGAAAGAATAAGTCATATAGCTGTTTCTCTTGATTCATTTTTAGGCTTTAGGTTCTCAAATTAAAGCACCTGTTTGTGTGACTTCTGCATGTAATAGAACTCCAGTAAACTAGAAGGTATTTTTTTTTCCTTGAGTCTCTCATGCTGTCGCCCAGGCTGGAGTGCAGTGGCATGCTCACGGCACCCCAGAGTCGACCTGCTGGGCTCAAGCGATCCTTCAGCCTCAGCCTTCCAAGTAGCTGGAACCACAGGCACTTGCTACCACACCTGTCTAATTTATATATATTGTAGAGACGAGGTCTCACCAAGTTGCCCAGGCTGGTCTCGAACCCCTGGGCCCAAGCAATCCTCTCGCCTCGGCCTCCCAAAGTGCTGTGATTACAGGCTTGAGCCATTGCGCCCGGCCTAGAAGGTATTTTAAGTGATCTGTTATGAGGCAAAAGAATGTGTCCAATGGTGTCAAAGTCCTACGTCTCGGGTACAGCAAGGATCTTGAACTAGGTAGGGAAATTTATCTTATGATATCCAGGGAAATCTACATACTCAAACACTATAAAAAAATAAGAAAATGCAACTCAATCTCTGTTTCTCCCCCTCCTCCATGTCGTTTTCAGCACACAGAGAATATATCTAGGTCTGGAATGGCTTAAAGATATAGCCATATTCTCTAGGGATTGAATCTTTTTAGTAGTTAGAGTCCCATCAGCACACTTATTTTCCCGACCAACCAGACATTTTCTTCTTTTTTCTAAGGATTTGACTAAAACACAACCATTTCAACATAGCACACCAAAGTAGAGTTAGGGACAGAGGAACATATTTTTCAAATGAAATCCCTGGAAATCCAGTATGGTGACATCATATCATATACAGGGATTAGGTTCACATGAAAGTACTTATATAAAAAATTGTGAATAGCAAAAATTATCTTTTAAATTACACATAAAGTATAATTTATAAGTTATGTATATCAGATGTAGATAAGCACTCTAAGTGACAGAATTCACATGACAAATATACACATACACATTTTCATAACACTGTTTAAACTGTTCTACCTTCCACACTTGCTCTTTTTTTCTTTTTTAGAGTTGGAACAGGGAGTAAATACATTAAATTTGCACACGGTAACTCCATTCTGTATAAAAGAGGTTGCTGTGGATAAACTGGAAGTGTTGAGATGTGTATTCCCTTTGTCTCTCACCACAAAATAATTGTGGTGGACAGAATAATGGTCCCCAGTAAGGTCCACATCCTAATCCCTGGAACCTGTTAGCTCACATAGCTAGGAAATCTTGCAGATGTGATTAAGCTTAAAGAACGTGAGATGGAGAGATTATCCTGGATTATTTAAGTGGGTCCGTTAATCATGTGAGTCCATAAAGCAGAAAACCTTTCCTTGCTGCAGAGAATCAGATAGATGATGGTGCAGGAAGATCTCAGCCCTCCATTGTTTGCTTTGAAGATGGAGAAAGGGGGCCATGAGTCAGAGAATGTGGGCAACCTCTGCAAGCTAGAAAATAAAAGGAAATGGATTCTCTCCAAGGGCCTCTAGAAAGAAATTGTGCTCTGCTGATACCTTGATCTTAGTCCAATAAGAAACATGCTGAACTTTTGGCCAATACATCTGTGAAGATAATACATTTGTGTTGTTTCAAGCCATCAAGTCTTTGGTAAATTGTTACAGCCACAATAGAAAATGAGTACAGCATCCCATATGGTATTTCCTGAAACCTAGGGCTCTGGAAGTGTAGTCTGGTTTCCAGCTATATGTACCTCAGTCTCAGTCAAGTATTGTTTTTGACAAGTATTGTTTTTGACAAGTGCATTTGGTGTGTTTCTTTACAGCTCTTTCTCCTCAGAGACTCAGTGACTCAGTGAAAGTAACCCAGCCATCCCATCCAAGAATGACAAACTTCAAGATCTGAAAAATCTATTCAGTTACTACCAATTATGACACAGAATCTGTTTTTACTCAGGTCAAATCCTAAGAGCAAAGTCTGAAAAATACCTGATATTTACCAAAGTTTAGCCTCATAAGTGGAGAGAGGAGTGCAGCCCAGTTCACAGGAGGATACTGGTAGCTTTCTCCAACAGTTGCTATGGGTTTCATCACTACTTTAAGAAGGGAAGGAGGCACAGATTCAGGACCTGCAAAAGAAAGGAAAAAAATAGTAATAAAACAACTTCAGAGCATTAGGAAAGTGGAAATGCCAACTTTCTTCTGATTTCAAACAATTTGCTATCATGTCCTCAGCTGTGATTAATCTTTCAATTTTGTGCTCTTAATTTCAAACTTGTTCCCTCTGCTACAAAACCTGTTCTCGCTGTTCTTCTCGTTTTTAATTCAAAAAAACTAATTGACATATAATAATAATACATTTTTATGGGATAGAGATTTCCATATATATGTGCAATGATCAAATCAGGGTAACTAGCAAATCCATCACCTCAACTATTTATCATTTCTGTGCTGAGGACATTCAAATTCTTCTCTTCTAGCTATTTGAAAATAACAACAAATTATTGTTAACTATAGTCACCCTACAGTGCCATAGAAGACTAGAACTCATTCCTCCTATCCAGCTGTAATTTTGTATCCTTTAATCAACCCCTCCCTATTCTCCCATCCTCCTACCCTTCCCAGTCTCTAGTAATCACTATTGCTCCTCTACTTCTACATGAGATCAACTTTTTTAGCTTCCACATATGAGTGAGATGTTTATCTTTCTGTGGTTCATTTATTTCACTTAACATCTTCCAGGCTCATCCATGCTGCTACAAATGACTGGACTTCATTCTTTTTTATTTGTCTCCAATTTTCCCTCTTATTTGGATAAATATATTCCATACTGCTACTTAGCTGTCTTCTACATTCTCCTGTCTTTTTACTCGGTTTTCAAAACTAAGTAACTTACTCTACATTATTGCCTTCTCACTCGCTACCTATTGACTTCCAGCAGGGAGGCAACTACTGCTCACTTGGGTACATTCCCTTGTAAGAATTATAGATATTATCTACTCCTTATGGCTCCTTAGATACTCCTTATCTACAGAATTGGTTGCATTCTGTACCATGGGATTCCCTGCTTTTTTCCTGCTCCTCAACCTGTGTCATGGTGATCACTCTAGAAGTGAGCATCTAAGGGAGTAACAGCTAATCCATAGGTTAACCAGGTACCTATCACAAAGTATCACTATTTAAATATTATATTATCTTTTTAGGGGTGTACATATCATAACTGGAAATTGAAAAACTGAGATATTGGAGCACTTATGAGTGAAAACATACACTGCAGTCAGGCATGGAATAGCCATTAAGGGTCATGTAAAAGTGAAGCTACAAATAAGTCAGAAATAGTGCACTAGAAGAACAAGAAGGAGAAGCAAAATCAGCAGGATCAACATCAGCAGAAGAGAAATTAGCATCAGCAGAAAGAGCCGCAGAATCAGCAAAGAGGAAAGCATCAGCAGCAAAAAAAAAAAAAGCAAGAGGCAGGATCTGCAAACAAAGCACCTGAATCAGAAGATGTTGAAAAACAGGGAATCAGAAGTGCAGGCAGAGTCAGCAAAAGGAAAAACAGCTGCAGAAAGGAGAAACATAGGGAAAAAGGAGAAGCAGAGGCAAAATCAGCAGAAAAAGCAACAAAATCAGCAGATGCTGTAAGAAGGGAGAAGCAGAAGCAAGGGCAGAGTCAACAAAAGTGAAACAGCAGCAGAGAGGAGAAGCAAATGGGAACAGAAGAAGCAGAGGTGAAATCAGCAGATGCCAAAAAAGGGGAAGCAAAACCAGTGCAGAGTAGGCAAAAAGTTAAAACAGCAGCAGAAAGGAGAAGCATACAGGAATAGGAGAAGCAGAAGTGAAATCAGCACATGCTGAAAAAGGGGATGCAAAACCTGGGCAGACAAAGCAAACGTTAAAATAGCAGTAGAAAGGAGAAGCAAATGGGAAAAGGAGAAGCAGGGGCGAAATTAGCAGATGCTAAAAAAGGGGAAGCAAAACCAGGGCAGAGTAGGCAAAAAGTTAAAACAGCAGCAGAAAGGAGAAACATACGGGAAAAAGAGAAGCAGAGGTGAAATCAGCACATGCTGAAAAAGGGGAAGCAAAACCTGTGCAGAGTAAGCAAAAGTTCAAATGGCAGCAGAAAGAAGCATAAGGTTTTCCCCTAAGGAGAAGCATGCAGGAAAAGGAGAAGCAGAGGTGAAATCAGCAGATGCTGAAAGGGGAAGCAAAACTAGGGTAGAGTAAGCAAAAGTTAAAATAGCAACAGAAAGGAGAAACATACAGGAAAAGGAGAAACATACGGGAAAAGGAGAAGTCTATGGGAAAAAGAGAAGCATACAGGAAAAGGAGTAGCAGAGGTGAAATCAGCAGATGCTGTAAAAGGGGAAGCAAATCCAAGCAGAGTAAGCAAAAGTTAAGACAGCAGCAGAAAGGAGAAGCATAGAAGAAAGAAGAAGCAGAGGCAAAATCAGCACACTGAAAAAAGGGAAGTAGAATGAGGGCAGGGTTAGCAGAAGAAAAGCTTCAGAAAGGAGAAACAGGAAAAAGTAGAAGTAAATGCAGAATTAGCAGAAAAACTCACAGAATCAGTAAAAGCAGGAAAAGAGAAGCAAAAGCAAAAATGGTAGACAATAAAAAAGGGAACAGAGTCAGCAAAAGGAAAAACAGTAGCAGAAATGAGAAGCATAGGAGAAAGTAGAAGCATATGCAGTAAAGTTAGCAGGAAAAGTAGAATTAGAAGCTAAAAAAGAAGAAGCAGAGGCAGAACCAACAAAAGGAAAAGCAGCAGCTAAAAAAGGAGTAGCATTAAAAAAAGAAGCATATCAGAATGCGCAAAGCACTTGAATAGACATTTCTTCAAAGATGACACACAAATGTCCAACAAGCATATGAAAAGATGACCAACATCACTAACCTGCAGGAAAATGCAAATCAAAATCACAGTGAGATATCACCTCACACCTAATATGATGGCTACTATAAAAACAACAACAATAAAATACCAGCAAATAATAAGTGCTGATGAAAATAAGGAGAAATCGAAATTCTTATGTACTGTTGATGGGATTGTAAAATGGTACAAACACTATTGAAAGTTCCTCAAAAAGCTATACATTTTTTAGATAAGTAAAAAATTACAAGTTGAACCACCGTATAATTCAGCAATCACACATATGGACATATAGCCAAAAAAAAAAAAAAAAAAAAAGAAAGCAGTTTCTTAAAGAGATATGTGCATACCCACATTCACAGGAGTATTATTCACAATAGCCAAGTGGTAAAAGAAACCCAAATATCCACTGATAGGCGACTGAATAAACAAAATGTGTTATAAACATAACAGGGAATATTATTCAGCCTTATAAAGGAAGAGCATCTTGTTACATGCTACAACATGGATGAAACTTGAGGATATTACATTAACTTAAATAAGACAGCCACAAAAGAACAACTGCTGTATGATTCCACTTATATGAGGTATATAAAGTAATCAAATTCATAGAAAAACAAAATAGAATGTTGGCTGCCAGGGGCTAGGGAGAGGGAGAAAAAGGGTGTTATTGCTTAATGAGTACAGAGTTTTAGTTTTATAAGACAAAAAAGTCCTGGGGTCTATTTCACAACAATGTAAATATACTTAACACTACTGAACTGTATACTTAAAAATGATTAAGAGGGCAAATTATTTTATATGCTTATCATCACAATTTTTTTAAAAGATGATGCACATTCAGAAAAAGCAGCTGAATTTGAAGAGACTAAAAAAAGTAGAAGAAGTGAAAGCAGAGTATTTTCTTTGCCCTGTTTTTGGTTTTTAACTTCTGGTGTTCAAGGAAATCTCTGTCAAACATTAGCCAATCACAAGCTAAAAGAGTAGAGCCTTAACAGACTACACATGACAAGGAATATAGGTCTTACAAATACAGTGTGTTATAAGACATACAAACAACTGTAACCCACAGGAAGAAACAAAGACAAACACTGAGGAGCAGACAGAATCTGATACTCAGAATTATCACATCATAATATTCAAAATGTTCAGTTTTCAAAATTCTAGAGATGGATGGTGATAATAGTTGTATAACAATGTGAATATGCTTAATGTTACAAAATTAAACTTAAAAATGGTTAAAATGGTAAATTTTATGTTATGTATTTCTAACCACAATAATTATTCTAATTCTTAGAATAAAACTGAACTTTGACAGGCATTCAAAAAATGTCCAGTTTTCAACAAAAAAATTATACAGCATGAAAGGAAACAAGAAATTTTGGGCATTTCACAGAATAATTAACAGAAACTGTCCCAAAGGAAGCACAGATATTGGACTTACTAGAGAAAGATTTGAAACAAACTGTCTAAAATATGCTCAAACAGCTGAAGGAAACCATAGACAAATAACAAAAACAAACAAAAAACAAAACAAAACAACAAAAAACAGGAGAATTATACATGGACAAATAGAGAGTACAGTAACTGCAATGAAAAACTCATTGGAGAGTTTAAATAGCAGATTCGAGCAGACAAAAGAAAAAAAATCAGCTCACATAAAGATAGGTAAATTGGAACTATTCAGTCTAAGGAACAGAAAGAAAGAAGGAAAAAAAGAATAGAGCCTAAGGACACCATCAAGCATACCAACACATGCATAATGGGAATGCCAAAAAAGATAGGAGAGAAAAAGAGAAGATATATTTAAAGAAATAACAGCCACCACCTCCCAAATTTGATTAAAAGACACAAATGTATACATTCAAGAAGATCAAGAAACCCTAAGAAAGAAGATAAACGCAAAGAGATGCACAACAAGACAAACTGTAATCAAATTTTCAAAAGACAAAGAGAAAGTCTTAAAAAGCAACAAAGAGAAGTGACTCATCACATCTAGGGTCCTCATTAAGACTAACAGGCCATTCCCCATTAGAAACCATTTAGTCCAGTAAGGAGTGAATGACAATTTAACATTTTTAAAGTGCTTCAAGAAAAAAAAAATCATTCAGAGATGCTATATCCAACAAAACCTATCATTCAATAATTAAGGAGAAATTAAGACATTCCCAGAAAAACAAAGCGGAGCAAGTTTGTCATTCATAGAAATTCCCTAACGGAAGTCCATTAGTCTAAAATAAAAGGACACTAGACAGT